CAATCTATCGACGTATATGTTTTAAACCAAAATTCAATTTCTAATCCTCCTTCTGCAACTCCATTTATGCTACTTTGATGGACCTTCTCTCCATGAACCTGAATTTCTCTTTCAATTGAGTTTCTTGTCAGCTTGATCTCCAACTCCATAATCCTCTTTCTTGTATTTGACCAACTCATCTTCCTCGGGGTAGTTTTAATAAGCTCGTAAAACCAACACTCATCTTCAATTCCACCAATATGCTCTTCTCCTCCTTCTCTGCCTTCACCTAATCTAGTTCACTTCCATGCCCTTCAATACCCTCTCCATTTTCATTAATATCCTGATCATCTACCACTTCTCTCTCTTCAACTACTCCGATTTTGCTTCTATGTCTTTCAATACCCTCCTTGGTTCAATCACTACCCTGACCAATTGCCTCTTCACTGCCTTCACTTGCTGCAAACTACTTCCATGACTTTTTATACACCTTCCTCAAAATCACAATCAACTAACCAATATCAATCCATGGCCTTGAATCAGTTTTAAACTCTCTATGAACATCTCAATACCACAAAGTCTATATCTAAATATTTTTTCAGTTAATCATGAACTTGAGTTTATCAAAATCTAATCCACTCCTTCTAAGTTGGAATTCTCATCCACCAAGCTCATTTTTGGTTCATTTGATCCCACATAACCATGATATTATACCTCTAACTAAAATAAATCAAAGCATTTTACGAAAAGAAATCAAACCATGAACTTTACCTGCTACCAAATCCAAACACAATTTCTTCCTCTCACCACTTTTCTTCCCAAACCCAATATCAACTTTTACTCCAAGTTCACACCCCCAACTCCCAGTGTGTTGCGTGAAAGCTTAATTTTAGCAATCGTTATGCTTGCAATTAGATTAATGGACACCAGCAAGCGCCAAAATTCCACCAGACGATGAGTTGTCTTCAGTTTGAGTTTTGTCATAAAACTGCTGGCCCAATATGTTTATTAGTTTGGAGGCCATATGATGAGCAATACCGAATCAGTTGCAACGAAGTTACCGGTCACAGTAATGACAATGTAAATAATATAGATACCGGTTGGATGCTGGTTAGTTTCTTCTTCTTTAATTTGGTAATAATATTGGTCTCTATATAGAACCACAACGTGCATTCAACTTTTATGGTTCAGAGCAATTAAGCTATGAACATGGGAATTCTATACTGAATGAAGGTTTGTTTGATCATGACAAACTTCACTTTTATGGCAACGTGCAATCAGCTCCCGTAAGCTCTCCTGGTAAGTGTTAATGTATAAGTACCATAATATTGCAGCTTGACAGACTTCACTTAGAATTGAGTTACTGTAAGGACTTATAATGGCTGCCGAATTTCTAGGTCTGTTTGATTATGATGCTCTTCTCCCGATGTATTAATACTTCCTACAATAACATCTTTGCTTGAGAAAGCTACTGATCTTGGATTGGGATATGAGATGAGTATAGACATAAATGTAAGAAAATTTTATTGTAGAGTACTTGCATAATATTGTAGTCAGAATCTCACAGATGTAATCTCTTAAGCAGGAAGGACTGTGAGTAATAGAGAAATGAAAAATGCTGCAAGAGGTTCACACGATTAAGGTATTTATTTATTATGGGTTTTTATGATGCATTTAAACGGAATCCTATTGTTACTTTCACATATTTCAAATTTGTTCAGGACTGCTCCTTTCTAAACCTATTTAACCAAATTGCGGTTAAGGATGAAAGTATCAGTATTAGTTTGAATGTTTATGTCAACTTGGTCATTGATAATCTGGGGGGGGGGGGGGGGGGGGGGGGGGAATGTTACTCCTATGGTTTAATGTCTTATCTCTGATAACGAGATCACCTTTTTCTACTGATCATTACATTCCACAAACAGAGTAGTGCAACGAAATAAAGTAGTGCTTGGTGGCTTGGTGCTAGTGACTCAATCCCCTAATGCTGACAAATTTTAAGAGTAAGCTTCTTTCTTGTCTTTGCTTCTCTTGAAGTTAGTGTGCTTTAAAGAGATTCTCATTCTTGAATTTACCCATCCATTATTGTTTGATGCGTAATTAGATTGAGTTTGGATCATTTTTTATTTGTTCATCATATTGTAAGAGGGAAGCTGTTGATTTACAGTTGAAGACCTCAGGTCATTTGGAACTTTGTGTTCATAAAGTATTGACTCATACAAAAACAGCAATCTAAGTTTAAACTCAGTATATGAACCCTTCTAGGCTTACTTTAAAACCACTGCTCTTTTGGCAGACTCTTTTTTGGGGAAAAAATCCCAGAATACGCTAGTTATTAAAAAAAATTCCCTAAATCCAGTACTTATAAAAGTAATTCCCAAAATACAGCAGTTTCAACATCACTGTCTTTGTCTAAGACAGTGATGTTGATCACCGCTTTTGTCCAAAGCAGTGAAGTAGCGGGGAACGCATCACCGCCTTGGACAAAAGCGGGGAATGCATCATCGCTGTTGTCAAAAGCGGTGATACGTTCCCCGCTTTTGTCAAAGGCGGAGATGGTATCCCCGCTTTTGACAAAGGCGGGGAACGTATCCCCGCTTTGGACATCAACAGTGAAGCCATCACCGCTGCCGTCCACAACAGTGATTGCCTCCACGTTTTACACAGCCCTGGTAGGTGGAGAGGTAGGTAACAGCTACCTAGCCATCACCGCTGTTGACTAAGGCGATGATGGCTTCACCGCCTTGGTCAAAAGCGGTGATTAGCTCCCAATTTTTCCTATAAAAACCCACGCCCTCTTCCCTCCTGCTGCCAAACAGAAAATTAGTACAAAAATTATCGTTTTGTTAAGTCGTTTTCGCAGCTGGTTCCTCCGTAGTTTACTGCTCAAGAAACTCGTCGGGATTCGGTACGTTAGAATTATGTATTGTTTACATTTTGATTATGTGCTAGAATTAGGTATGTTAGAATTATATATTTAGATTAATTATGATATGATATATGTTAGTTAGTTAGTACTGAATTTAGATTAATTTGTTTAGTTTTCTCATGATAGATCGGGATTGAGTATGTTATAAGTATGTATTTTGTACATGTTGATGTGTTAGTAATTATACTGTCTGTATTTAGTGAATTGCGGTTATTGGAAAATATGTTATGATATTATTTAGTTTAATTATGATATGATAGATGTTAGTTAGCTAGTTATGAATTTAGATGAATTTGTTTAGTTTTCTCATAATAGATCAATTAGTTGCATTTTATTATCGCTTTGGATGATATTGTTTTTGTATCCATAATGTACTAATTATATACTATACTTAATTATTATAAATTGCAGACATGGTTAAATTTAAGAAGTTTCGGCTTATTATTTATTGGAATGGTCGGGTGACAAACTCGAACATTGGGATCGACTATGAAGATGGCGAATCCAGTATGCTTACAATTGAGTCGAGATTCTCGTGGCAAGAACTCCATGACAAGTGTGCAGAAAGGACTTGTACGGGCGGGCAAATGAGAGTTCGTCAAATTACTTACCGGTATCCCAACATGAGTGCTGACGGAGTCATGTACGAAAGAGTTGACATAAATGATGATGACGACGCGAACATGATGACACAGTTCATATCTGAGAACGGGGTGCGGCTTGCAGAGGTGTATGTCGAGACCGAGCCGGTCGGTGAAACTCATTCTCACCAGTATTCTTATGATGATGGTTTTGCAGGAGGGTATGGCTGGGGTGGTAGTTCAAGTAACTACGGAGCAGGTTCTTCTGCCGGAGGGTATGGTTGGGGAGGTACTTCAAGCAACTACGGAGGAGGTAGTTCTGAAGGAGGTGTTGGGTGGGAAGAATACCTGCCACATGGTGGTGAGACTGCCGTCGATATCGTTCAGCCCGACGGTGATCAATGGCCTGCTTGGGGTCCAGAGTGGGGTGACATTGAAAACACCCTTCGAACTGGGCGTACTTCGCATGACCAAGAAGGCGATGCTGGTTATGCTGCTAACGATGACCCTCCTTCGCCGAGCTATCCATTCGCCTCCAGTGACGATGAAAGTGAGGAAGATTTGAGATCAGTCAGTGAGGAGGAAGATGCGGACGATAACGACGATATCGATGACAGTGAGGTGGCGTTCCGACAGGCACCAACGCCTTACTACACAGAGGTTCCTGATCAATTTTTATATGGTCAGAACGATGCCCCTGACTTTCGGCCCATGCCTGTGTATAATCCGACTGCTAATTTGGAAGTGGGTATGGCGTTCACTTCGAAAGCCGATGTGCAAGACGCTTTTAGCGAAGAAGCCATGCGGCGTAATTTCGAATGGAAGGTAAAATATTCTGACAAGGGACAACTGCATGTCATTTGTAAGAATGCTGGAGAGGGTTGTATGTGGCAACTTCGTGCTGCATATATGAAGAGAAAGGGGGTCTGGGTTATGCGGTCAGTAGAGAACAACCACAGTTGCTCCTCAACCATACTTTCACAGGATCACCGGCAACTGAAAGCAAAAAAAGTGGCAAGAACCATTAAGCACCTTATCGAGGCACAACCAGATATCAAGATAAAAGCTATCATGGCGGAGGTGAAGGATCGACACTCCTACACCATAAGGTATAAGAAGGCGTGGCATGGGAAGCAGAAGGCCATGGCTGATGTCTACGGTGATTGGGATGACTCGTATGCTTTACTCCCCAGACTAATGTCCGCAATGGAGGAGTCCAACCCTGGGACGGTTTTCGTGCCTTGGTACAACAACGTAGAAACTGAAGATCAAGTTCGAGTACAGAACGAGTTGATGTTTCATCGTCTGTTCTGGACATTCAAGCCATGCATTGACGGGTTTCCCTTCTGCATGCCAGTGATTCAGGTATATTACGGACTCAAAATATTGTACTATTTCATTACTTTACTAAAGGTCGATTTTTACTAACTCATTATTCATTTTAACAGGTTGATGGAACTTTCCTTACTGGGAAGTATAAAGGAACTCTTCTTATTGCCACTGGGGTTGATGGAAATTTAAGTATTTTTCCCTTAGCATTTGCATTAGTTGAAGGGGAGAACAACCTAAGTTGGGCATGGTTCTTTGACCAGCTACACGCCCACGTCACACAAAGAATGGGTATTACAATTATATCGGATCGACATGCCGGGATTAAACACGCCGTCCGTGGTTTCCCGGACGAATGGGGATGGACATGGCGTTGGTGTATTCGTCACTTCCTAGCCAATTTCCAACACAAATTTGGCAAGAAGAAAGACATCAGAGATCAATTATGGAGTGCAGGTAATAATGTAATTCAGTGCTTGTTCAAGGTTTATTGTTCAAATGACAATTCTTATGGATTAATTATTAATTCTCCGGTCTTGTAGCGGTTGCACATCAACCAAAAAAGTACGAGCAGAAGATGAAGACGATCCGTCAAATACACCGGGCGGGAGCAGTATGGGCAGAAGGTCAAGATCTGCACATGTGGACATTTCACATGGACAACGGGGCTAGATTCGAAATTGCAACTACCAACCATGGGGAGAGCATAAATGGAGTCTACAAGGGCATTAGGGCAATGCCTGTATCTGTCCTAGTGGAGATGACATACTGGAAGGTAAACGAGTGGTTTGTGAAGAGACGGGATGCTGCTATAGGGAGGGCTCGGGCTGGTGGTCGTTAGTATTTGCTCCGATCCACCTAATTAAGCAAAAGTACATATATAAGCAATTTTTAAATTAGCTAAATACGATTTGGTTAGAATAAATCCAAATTCAAATACTTGGAAGATATCTAAATTCACTAAAATACTAGAATTGCAGACCTAAAATGTCTCTAAATTCGCTTAGTTGGAAGATAGCTAAGTTCACTAAAATACTATAATTGCATACTTAAAATTGCATACTAAGTTCACTAAAATCTAAATTCACCTAACTAGCTACCATTGCATATCTAAAATAAATTCAACTTAAATTGAACTTACTTGAAACCATATGGGGGATTTGCTACAAATCGTAGCTCATCATCTGGCAACCAGAATTCCCGAGGGTCTTGAGGTGCGAGAAACGGAAGATGCTCCCATGCCCAGAGTTGAAGTATGAACATCGCACCACCAGCTTGTTTCGCTCCCAACCTCGAGCAAGTACACAACTCTCGGTAGATTCCAGCCAAGACGGCCGACCCCCAACTTTTTCTCCCGATCTCGTCCCAGTCACCGAGGAGCATAGGGAACCACATGCCTTGTATCCACTTATTTGACTTGTCGGGGAACAGAAACCCACCAACCAAGGCAATTAGGTATACACGTGCATACCGCTCCACCTGATCTTCAGGAGTATCCGGGCCTATATTAACCTCCAATTGGATGTGGTCAACAAGCCACGGGATCGATACTTGCCCCGCATTCAGTGGTGGATGCCCAACCCCTTCGACGGGCGTGGTGGTCGGCATGTTGAACCCCAGACGTTCCTGAATCAATGGCCCCCAACCATCTTCTGGTTTTCTCGAGCTGTCGATGATGGCATCTCCGGTGATCGGGAGCCCGGTGAGGATGGCAACATCTTTGAGGGTGATCGTCATTTCACCCTCGGGAAAGTGGAAGGTATGCAGCTCAGGGCGCCATCGCTCTGCCATTGCCGTCAGCAGATCGTTGTCAATATCTAGCCTCATAAAGTGCCTCAAATTGTGCAATCCCGCCCTCTCTAGATAGGGATGCAGTCGAGGATGCCAACGGGGCAATCGACATGTACCTCGATGACTGATGGGAATAAGTGATTCCTACAAAACAAAAAACACAATATTGTCAGTCAATAGAAAGCAAAATAAAAACTTAGAAAGCAAAATAAAAACTTTAAAACTATTGAAATAATTGTAGTGTATCTACCGGATTATTGTTCCAAATTGAACGAGAGCGATGTTGATCTTGCCCGGTTAAATACCTTCGATCCCTTGGGCCAGGATCGATATACAATCTAGGGTCGTATATCTCAGCACCCATCTATAAAAAAATATGAAATCAAATCAATTTAAATTTTAGCACCCATGTAAAAAAAAAAGCACAAAAGAATTAAATAAATTTACGTACTCTCAAAGCCTCTTCGTCCATTTTTTGCCGAAAAGCTAGCGAGAGTATCGACAAAACAACAAAACAAAAACTCTAGTAATTCTTTCTGATGCGGAAGATCGGACTTATCCGCAACCACAGAGCATACTTAGAACGAAACTAGAGTGAAAAATGGAGGGAGAAAGAAGTATGAAGTGGTGGTGTGGTTTGGAATGAGAGGGGGGATGGGTATTTATAGGGTTTGGGGCTGGGAAAACACCTGGCCAGTTATCACCGCCCCAAACAAACACAGCGCCATCACCGCCTTTGTTGGACGCGGTGATGGTCAGGGATCGCTGACGTGGCCTCTCCTGATGCGTCGGATTGTGGAGAAAAACCACAATCCGCGCATAACTGCATCCGACGGCAGCGGTGAAGGCGCGGGGTGGGGCGCGGATCGCTGACGTGGAAAGCGGGGCTATCACCGCTTTGGTCTTCAGCGGTGAAGTGCCCGCGCACGTCCACGTCAGCGATCCGCGCCCCTTCACCGCTGTTGGATCCAACGGTGAAGGCTTCACTGCCTTCCACATCAACGGTGTTGCCATCACTGTCGTCCTTGACAGCGATGATGGCATCACTGCTTTGGTTTAAAGCGGTGATAACATCACTGCTTTTGTCTAAAGCGGTGATGTATCATCGTTTTAGACCAAAACGGTGATCAACATCACTGTCTTAGACAAAGACAGTGATGTTGAAACTGCTGTATTTTGGGAATTACTTTTATAAGTACTGTATTTTGGTAATTTTTTTTAATAATTGGTGTATTCTGGGATTTTTTCCCTTTTTTGGTACAAGACAAGTTTCCAAAGGACTTGCAAGATGGTATGCTGAGCATCATATCAATTCCAACTTTAGGCCAGGTTAGTTATATACTTAAAACTGTTCAATCCTTTATCTTTCTTAAAATGTTGAAAATCTAAAAATAGATAACATTCAATTTAAATGTTCTTTCTATGGTTTAGAATAAGCTTCATCTAATGAGGTAAATTGATCTGTGCTGGTCACAAAATGGTACAGTGTGGTAAAAACATTATGTTGAGGGTGAAAATGAATGCAAAAAGACGTTTGTTAGCATCGTGAAAGAACTTTCTTGGTTGCAGCGAACTGTACTTTGTAATCCCATGAATGCTAATAATTCTAGAAATGGTGTGTCTTAGCAAATTGTTTGGTAGAATCTTGCAGTTACCAGATAGGATTCAGGATTCAGTTTAGTCTTAATTGGGTTCAATAATGTGTTTTTTGAAGATTCTCTGCCTCATTTCCTTGCTTTTCAAGGGCCATGGTCACATTTTCATTTGCATATTAGAATTTAGATGCATCCCTGATTGATTGCTTTGTTCAGCCACACTCAGCTACCAATCCCGATCCGGCTGCTCCAGTCTCCAGAGAATCTCCCACGGAAAAATTATTTATATGAAATTATTTATTTGTTAGGCTCTTCTGTTGTTCGCAACCAAATTATATGGTTGTGTTAAACTTTCATCACCACAAAAATTAGTCACCTAAAATAATACTATTGGTTGGCATAGGAATTTCTTACAACCAAATCTTATGGTTGCCTAACAATTCTATAACAAAAATAATTAGTCGTATAAAATGATATAATTGGTCGGCATATGTGTTTTTCACAACCAAATTTTATGGTTGTGTTAAACTTTCACAACCAAAACTATTGGTCGTTATAATGATATTGTTAATTACTAATAGCCAAATAAATTGGTTGTCATTAGTATTTATGGCGACCAATCATCGACATTCCTCAACCAATATTGTGAACAATGACAACCAAATTAATATGGTCGCAAAAAATAATCAAGAATTTTTACCATTGACAAAATTGGTTGCGATAGCTTTATTTTTCGCTACCAATCATAATTTTGGTTGCTGTAGGAATTCGTAACGCGGGTATAGCGACCAACTCTGCTACCAAAAAATTTTGGTTATGAAAAATTTTTAATAACCAAATTTATACTTTTAGCGACCAAATATGTTGGTTGCAAAAAGCCTTTTTTCTTGTAGTGTTAATTTGTTTTTTAGTTTACAAGCAGTTCTCTTTTTGTACTTAAATAGTAGAGAATTGATTGGTATATAATGTTTATGTGCTATAGTATTGGTGCTTTAATGTACAATTTAAAATTGTACCATAACATGAAATGTATAAGTTTAGATTGTACCATAAAACAATTTGTACCATTATGTTATGGTACAACTTTACAACTTGAAGTTGTACCATCATATAAAGGTACAAGTTCAAGTTGTACCATACAAGAATTTGTACAAACAGTATAGGTATAATCTAAAGTTGTACCATAACGTTAAATGTACAATTTCAAATTGTACCATAAAGACAAAAACCTATAGCATTATAAAATTCCTCTTTGACAGTATTGTGTGATTAATTGAGAGGTGAGGTTGCCTACAAAATTAGCTGATATTATTGCTTAAAAATCCAAGTTAGGTGGATGAACAAAAGCTAATTTTTTCGAACAATTATAAAACCCACGTGAAAAACTATGACAGGTACTTGAATGATGTACCATTTCTTATTGGCAGGAGTTGTTCAAAGAAACACCGCCCTTTAAAAAGATGCCACAAGAATCTCAAATAGCATATACATGCTAAGTGCCTAAACAAAACAAGGATGGAATGCTTTTACTGAGATCACAACAAATAGATGAAAACAGGAGTACGTACGTACAAGCAGAACTAGAAACACCAGAAAAAGGAAATAATTAAAGGAAACGCGCGAGAAAAAACAAACATAAGAGCAAACAGGGGTACATACGTATTAGAGCAACACGCGATCGAGAAAACAAACAGAAGAGCAAGCAAACGAGCAACAGAGAGTTGCATGCTAGCTTATTCACATCAAAATCCCAAACAGAAGAGCAAGCAAGCAGCTGGCCGACCACCATAAAAGTCATCAAGCCGATGATGAAGCGGGCGGTGGCGGCCTGTTGGGCAGGGGCTCCTCTTTGGTCTGATACTGGTAGTTGTAGCTGTTAACCCCGGTGTAGACTCCGTCGTCCTTCTGGTACGTAACCGGTGTGCCGTCGAACAGAACGTCCCTCTGGGTGTAGGAAAACGGGACGTCACAGGTACCTTGCGTCGCCACCAGGCTCACCTTCATCTTACTGTAGGGACTCACCGTCGCGTCGTACTGGTTGGACAGCGTGTCGGAGGTTTCGTGCTGTTCACCCCAGGTGACGGAGTGGGACTCCTCCGCCGAGACCTCAATGGACGCTTCCCCGATAAAGGGGATGCCACATGTCAGCGAAGCAGTGACTCCGAGCTGGACGGTGACGTTGTCTTCCCACTGGGTGCTTTTGGAGTCGGTGTGCGTCAGCGTCAGCGTGTTGGTCACTGGGTTGGGGCTGTCGTTGGTGGTGTCCTCCGTGGCCGCGGTGATGATCTTCTGGTCGTAGATTCGTGCGTCCAGGAGGCGATATTTTACGTCGTAAATCTCCCTGGACAGCACCTGCTCCTCTACCTGGAGCCTCGCCTCCTGGGTGATGGTGGGAACCCCAGCTTCAAGGTAGGCGCTTTGCTCCAAGTATGTATTCCGAGCGCAGAACAAGCTGTTGCCCTGGTTGCGTAAAGCGATGACGTTCTTGTCTAGTTTAACAGTCCAAAACAGGTTGTCCGGGTTGTTGGTGCTAGCGTCCTCGGACTCCACAAAGATCATATTGGGGAAAAAAGTCGACTGTGGGAAGCGTTGAGAACCCCTCCTGTCCGGCCCGGTGTATAAATTTATTAATTAGCCGCAAGACAGAAAAGTACGTAAAAATCGTAAACAATTGATGCCAATAATTCGAGTTTTTGGTAGAGATTCAATTGTAAATCATGAAGCGTTTACTAACATACTAACCCCCAGAAATAATCGTTCTTGCTGGCTCTGATCCGAATGGCTCCATCTGTGGCGGTGAACACCTGATGGCCGACACCCGGATCGCCAATGTCCTTGGCGTCGAACTCAAGGAGCGCGTTCCTAGTTTCCAACTCGCTAAGACGGAGGTAGGACCCGTTGTCGCCCTTGAACACCACGTGCTGAGGCAGCACGACGAGCGCTTCCCGATCCACCACCTCGCACACGTCGTAGAGGTCTTTGTTGGGCGATGCCGTTCCGGCGAACAGAAAGAAGGTGTAAGGATGTGCGCCGGCGAAGAGGGAGGCGTAGTGGTTGAGCTGGACGTGGAGGAAGCGGACGAGGAGGGCCTGGTCGTCGGACTCCACCTTGACGGGCTTGAAGAGCGTACACGACCACTTGGACTGGTCCTCCTCGGGGCTGTCGGCGGCGGCGGCGATCCAGTCGTTGCTGGATGTCCATCTCCTCCAGTACTTGTTGTTGGAGGCGCACCGGATGTGGACCAGTCCTTCCGTTGTCTTGGAGGCTTCCACGTTGAACTTGGCCAGAGGGCTCGCGGCTTCCTTCCCCGTGAACTGGAGGAGGCCTTGCTGTCCGCCTTCTTCGTTTGTGTAGCGCAGGAAAGTGTGGCTGTTCTTGTTCTTCAGCACCACGGTTCTTGGCAACCCCAGCGGAAGCTCCACCGACGCCATTGTTAATTATATATTATCTCCAAAAGAAAGAAAGATTTATGATGATGTGCGTAAAAGAGATGGGATGGGATGGGATGGGTTTAATACTCTCCACATCCCTCGTATTTATACTACTACTCACTCATGCATGCAAATAAGAAGAAAAAATCGTCTGTGCTATTTAGGGCAATTAAACATTGCGAATCACAACGTTGGCGTCAACATCACCACCCATTATCATATATCCATGCACGGTCCCTATAGCTAGTAGCTAGTTAATTAATTATTACTCATTATGGGTAATAATGTCCAATGGCCGGTCGCCTCAGGAAGGAAACCATAGGAAAGAACCAAATTAAATATAATAAAGCAATGTAAATTAATACTTTAATAATGGCTGTCATATATAGAAAATCTTGTGGCGTATCCAGCATATGGCCCGGCTGCTGCATCTCAACTTGTGCAAAAATCATGTTCATCACAAAACGTATCCATCAACCGTTGAAACGGTAGCTTTCGCACCTTTTTTTTTTTTTTTTTAATATTACACCTGGATGGACGGAAGTCAGGATGGGCTCCAGGTTCTTAGATTATCAATGGACTCATAGATGTGTTTGTAAAACCGTATCGTATCTGTGGTTGACAACAAAAATATGTTATCGGAATCTAAATTGGTAGGCGTTTACAGTGATGTGAAATGGTCGAACCGTGGTTTCAACACAAACTATTATATCGTTGATTTTTCTGGTATGGTTTCTCGATCTGTAATTGATAGATCTAAAAAAATGCATTGATGATTTTATCGGAAAAAAAATGCATGGATTGGATATTTGTTTAGGTTAATACCTTAAATTGATTCCAACTTTACACTAATAGATTACTCTACACGAATTTTCGCATTCACCATCCTGCTCTAAACTTTACACTATGTTTACCGGATATGTGGGTTGCCCGTCCAGTTGAATGGTGTTTCCTCGGGAAAAACAAATGCCACCGCCGGTGCCAATTGGTTTCCGGCGATGTTGATTTGATGTTTCACGATGGAAACTCTTGCGGTGCCGTTGATCGAATGCACCGCTGATAGCTGAAATCGAGACGACCGTCAAATATCCGCCACCGAATGTCGGCGTCGTTGATCTGATCGGTGCAACTCTGACTTCTGAAAACGATGACGATCGTCAAATATCCACCGCCGTGCGATGTTGATTTGATCGATCGAACAGAAAACAAAGAAGATCGTCAAATATCCGCCGCCGGTGTCGGCGTCGTTGATTTGATCGATACACCCTTGACTTCTAATCAAACAACCGTTATTCGGTTCGCACCTCTCCAAACTACGTTCGAACGAGGGTGTTTGAGTTTTGAGGAATCTACGCTACCGCTACTCCTATGGAGATTCCTGTGGAGAGCTCCGCGACTACGACTAAGACTACAACTATGGAGATCCTTCCTGGAAGGAGAGCTCCGCGAAGGAGTTACAGAGAAAAAAGATAAAGTTTGACAGATGTGTTTCTGTGTTGATTTGGTTGTCCTCTTTTTCTCTCTCCTTGCTCCACTGCTTTTATTCGAAAAACTGCTTCGTAGTCTTCACGCTCGGTGGAACCGCTTCCTCAACTGCTCCGTTGTGAAATTCCACGTGTCTCAACCGCTTCGCTCCTCAAACTGCTTCGCGTGAACTTTACGTGCGTTGTTTTCATGATCCCGCGATGTCGTTTCCTTTCCCAAACAGCTCCGCTTGATTCTACCCGCGACATCGTTTTAATATTAAACGACTCCGCTTCCAGCCTTGCGGTGTCGTTTTCTTTCCCAACCAGCTCCGATTGTTTTTTTCTTCCGCGACACTGTTTATTATTAAACACTGTCGTTTGCTAGTATAGCGGTACCGTTGGGCTTCCTCGCGGTACCGTTTTTAATTCCGCGGCACCGTTTTAGCTCTCCGCGGTGCCGCTTATCCCTATCCAACAAGGAATATAAATAATAATTAAATAATCAAAACTCCTCCTCCAACCTTCATTAAACGCGCGACCCTTTTTTATTTTCGGCCAGCGGTGTCGTTTCCGGTGTCGCGGTTCCGCTGAGCCTCCTTGCGGTACCGTTTTAACTCTCCGCGGTGCCGCTTGTCTCCAAACGATACCGTTTTTTACCCGCGGTATCGAATTAAATGCCGAGACTAATTAATGCGGCATTTAATTCCGGCCAAATTAATTTTAGGTGTCAACAAATGCCCCCCAACAATTTAGTTTATAAGAATTATGAACCAAATTGTTGTCACAACTTATACCACCTAAAATTAAATCAACTTTGCCAAGAAAATCCACAAATCACGTTTGCCAAAGGTGATTTTGGCAAAAAACAGTAAAAGTGGCATGCAATTCTACTGCAAGGCTGCACCCACGGCAGCGTTGTCTTGATCTTGTGTTTTTTTATATTATTTTTTTTTTGTCAGCCCTGTTAAATTCCACTACAGCCGCAGCCCAGCTTTGGCCAGAACGGCCATAATTTTTTTTTTTCACCAGCGCTGCCTCAAATTATTTATTTATTTATTATTTAATTATTTTTTTTTTTTTACTATTTCCGCCAGGGCTGTTGCGGCAGCAGCAGAGCTGCTATTTTTTTTTTCTTCTTCACGGCTGGGGAAACAGCGGGCAGCGCCAAAAAAATTTTTTTTTTTTTTTTTTTATTTACTGCCAGGGCTGTTGCGGCAGCAGCAGAGCTGCTATTTTTTTTATTTTTTATTTTCTGCCAGGGCTGTTGCGGCAGAACTGGATTTTTTTTTTTTTTTTAAAATATTTCCACCAGAGCTGTTTGCAACAGCGGCAGGACTGAAAAAAAAAAAAATTTGTATTTGTTCCGCCAGAACTGTTGGAGGCAGCGGCATAGTTGAAATTTTTTTTTTTTTTTTTTTTTTTTTTTTTTTTACTGCTGTGGAAGCAGCGGGCAGCGCTGCAGCCTGCATGACTAGTATTATATATATATATTTTAACATATTGTGTGGCTTAATTTAGCCACATTATTTTTTATAGCTAAATAAAAAAAACAAGCTAGATTTTGGCATAAACCATCACGCCAAAGGTCCAGACCCACTGCCAACTCCATGGATCGAACCAAACAAGCCATCCGTGAACGCCATTACTCTTCACAACTGGCTTTACACACGACCGAGAAGTTTTGAAGTCGGTGCTGGATTGAAACTTTTTAGCTCGTCTATCTCGAACATCCTTGTTTGAGATCCTACAAGCTTGACTTGGCTTTACTTCAGCCATAAGTTTTGATCGTTGACATGAAAAATCATCGGTATTTTTCGCTCTTGGCACGACATTCACATTTTTTGGCATCTTCGTCTTGCCAAGTCGACCATGCCGCATTGCCTGCTCAGACTGGTCCGGTTTTGTCAGTTGTACACTCTCACAATGTTGTTGGGAGTTTGAGCATCGAGATTTACTAGCTCCATCGACACGTGTGTTGGTATTTTGTTTACCACGACCATGATCTTTGCACTTATCACACAACAACTTTGCATCTTTTGAACTTCCACGTGAGTTTGGAGTTTGTTTGGCATTGGCCTTGCCCCCCAGACCACCACTCATGGATTTGTTCCCAGCCAGCACTGGTGTGGCAACCCTATGTCGGGCTCGATTAAACTTGCCCCCCTTTTCACTCAGTGGAGCCTTTGGTGACAATTTACACGAAGGAATCGGTTGAGCAATACCAACTTTCGCAGCATTGAGTTTTTTCACGTGATCACCACCTCCATCTTGAGTAGTGTCTGTGGTGACCCTAGTTTGACTTTTCCTAGAACAAGGTGGATGTGGCAAACTTATTTGCCACTTACGGTGTTGTTTCTCCTTCAATCTACCACGAGATGGGATGGCATGCCCCCCGAGCGGCTTAGGTTGAACAACATTGTAAAATTTGTCATCTTTCAAGATATCACAGTTGTTCTTCCTAATTTTATGAAACTTATTATAAACACGTTTAAATTTTGTTCTTTGTTGTGGCTTTCGCAAGACCGCTCTAACTTTCCAGTCCTTCAAAACAATAGTGTTCACAGGAGAACCAACATGAGAATTGCTGGCCCCTAACGCCACGGTTTTAGCCACAAGTTTAAGTGAATCCTTATTGGCAATACCGGATACATGTTCATCTATCATCTCAAAAAATTTATCCATTTGTCTTCCAAGAGAATCACAAGGCTTATTTAAAGAGATAAAATAGAGATTTACCTGCCGGTAATACTCCTCTACAGCTCGACGAAGAGACAGGAGTGCAACATGCCCATCGATGCTCGACATGGATTGTGGCCACTCCTTCATCCAACCGATATGTCTATCTGCCTCCTCTGCTCGGTCAACTTCAATGCCGACCACATGCTCCGCCTTCTCAGATTCTTGTGGAAGATCAACGTTGTGTTTTCCATGCCGCAGAGCCATATTTCACTTCAAACACACGTGTCCCACCAGGTGTGCCAAAACAACTTTGCTTGCTCATCATTGTTTATCTAATTTTGGCAAACGGTTGCTCTCTTTTCTTTAATCCGTTGCACCGCTCTAATCTCGACGGCCGTGTTTGAGCATGGCTGACTGGCCAATTCTAGTCACGATAGCCTGTTTAATTTTTCTTACCAAATCGTCTATGCCCAACAACGCTGTTACCCATGCCTGCTTCTCGTGGTAAAACAGCTTCGTTTGATACGAAAGGAACGTTTGGCATCGAATAGCGATGCCACACCGGCCGGACTTGGGTGAACCCTGCCGCTGGCCTTAAAGGCATTAAACTTTTCTTTATTAATAACGGAGTTGGCAAATTAGTTCATTTGTTGCCTACTTCGCCATTACCGTACTATTCAACCACGTTGTGCAGGCTTGGTGGCCGACGAGGCCACACCCTTTTAGCACCTGGTTGATCGTCATTATTCAGATTAATGACCAGCAGCGTCCCATAGGGACGGCACATATGACTTTAAATATTTGCCATTTATCAAACGCTCATGCATCACTCCATCTAAGTCTTTCAGCAGGTAC